TATATATATATATATATATATATATATATATATATATATATATATATATATATATATATATATATATATATATATATATATATATATATATATATATATATATATATATATATATATATATATATATATATATATATATATATGTATATAAACACACACTCAAGAAATCTGCCTGGCTGCTGTATATTTCACCTGCATATATATAAAACTACTCCTGGATCCATCCTCATCATCTTTGTGTTGATGGTGTATTTTACCTGCAATTCCAAGCACCGTCAGCGGGAGGCAGAGGACAGCAGCAAGAATCTTCATTACGCACACATTTACGAACTCAAGGTCCGACATACTAACAAGTAAATTGAGAAAGGAAAAAAATGAAATAGGCAAAAACATTAAAGCCGTGCCGGAAATTAAGTACTACACAAAAATTGGAAAAGTGTGTTAGTTAAAGTATGAAATGGAGTAGACATGGTACGATAACCATGTTTCAAGGTATACCAGGATTTGGCAAAGTCAAGGTTTTAAAACCGGCCAAATTTTCTGCTATACTGTTTCTAAGATGTGTGTAAAAAATATTAATATTAGGTTAATATTAGGTTTTGTTTGTTACGTAATTATAGTATTAATTATTAATTATAGTACTAATATTAGGTAGGTCATGACATCAGCTGACCAAAATTCAATGTCTAGTCAGCGTCTAAGGACAACGTTAATTTGACGTCCAATAATGACGTCAAATGATATTGATATTTGGTGGATTTTGGTGTTCGAAAGTGACCAAAATCCTACGTCGAGCCAACATCTTAAACCAACGTCATATTGACATTAAATACTGGCATTTACTCATCAGGTATGGCAACCAAAATCCAACGTCTGATAGACGTCATCGTGGTAACGTCCACACAACGTCGAGCTGTCACATCATTAGATATTGATATTTGGTTGATTTTAGGTTGGATGTTGGACACTGACGTCAGCCTGATGTTGGGTTCTGATGTCAACTTGATTTTCAATTCCAAAAAAATGTAACGTCCCCTCGACGTTCAGGTACATCATCAATCTGACGTCATGTTGACATCCTGTGCCTGCTGGGATGTTTACTGTTACAAAATATTTTTAAATGTTTTTCAAAATAAAATATATTAAAGGGGAAAAAGTTTTTATTTTTTACCCAGACAATTTTTTTAAGGGGTTTTCACCTTTATTGGGATAGGACAGTGAAGATTTTTACAGAGCAGAGGAAGGGGAAGGATTGGCAAAGGACCTTGAACCGGGAATCGAACTCGGGTCGCAGTGAGCACCTTGGTGCTACGTGTCGATGCACTAACCGCTAGGCTATTGGCACCGACTTACCCAGACATTTTAAATGAATATATTTTAGAGTAGTAATCAATACCATGAAACAGTAATATTTTCATCCAAGGTTATCATCCTGTCAGATTCATATACCAAGCCCTGCCGAAATGGGAGTGGTATGAATGGAACTCAGACGTACTACATCCGCCATTAGTCATTATCACATGACCTACACACATCATAGCGTAGCATTCATTGTATGCGCACTTCAAAATCCCGCTGTAATTAGTACAGTAGGTCATCCTGCTTGAATTCGGACATACTGCTTGGCTCGCATCTTTATAGTATGGTCAAAGTATGCCATTTCGGACACAGCCTAAGAATTTCTTTTTGTTATTATTTTACTTTCTACAACAACTACTATGAGGGCTGCTGCTGCTACCATTCATTATTATCATTAATATTATTACTTTTATTCATTCATTCATTTTCTTGTCGGCTTGGTCCCTTTATTAATCTGGGGTCGCCACAGCGGAATGAACCGCCAACTTATCCAGTAAGTTTTTACGCAGCGGATGCCCTTCAGCCGCAACCCATCTCTGGGAATCATCCACACACACATTAACACACACACTCATACACTACGGACAATTTAGCCTACCAAATTAACCTGTATCGCATGTCTTTGGACTGTGGGGGAAACCGGAGCACCCGGAGGAAACCCACAGGAAGGCAGGGAGAACATACAAACTCCACACAGAAACACCAACTGAGCTGATGTTCGAACCAGCGACCTTCTTGCTGTGAGGCGACACAGTGTGTGAATGTGTG